AGAGGAAACTGAGCTGCCTCTGTCTGAATCTCTTGGTAAAACTGGACTATTTTGCTCCCCTTCATCTGATGACATCTGAAATACAGAATGAATCAGGAGGTGTTATATATAACAATGTTTAAATGACTCATTTAAGTTCAAATAGACCAAAAGAACCAATTCTTCTTAAACGCAATAACTGTCTTGCTTGATAGCTATTTCCAGTCTACTTCAAAACGGTTTAATCTTATATAACTCCAAGGTATCATTGTTAAAACACCCTTAAAAAGAAACTGATTAAAACAACTCGATCTATCAGCTAAAAGTTTTACATACAAAATACTACTAATAAACTACCAATAATGTATTTCTAGAAGCATTAGTTGAAAATCTAACGAACAGTGCAAGGTTTCTGTTTATTTGAGCAGCAGCAGAAGCAGTGATTTCTCGACAGTGGTTTTCTCGAAGTAAGGAAACTTAGCAAAGTTTTTGTTTGCTAATGTTCATTATAATGTTCATATAATAAAGTCAAATATTGACTCAGTTGTCACGCAGGTAGACATAAACAGCCAGTCCCAGAACCGAAACAAAAGTGCCAACTAAGTTCCTGCTGTAACAGTTACGTTAGTTAGCTTCACAGCGCTGTGTTAGCCTCTTGCTGAGTTCCTAAGCTAAATCTGCTAAGCATCATGTGTGGTGCGGCAGAGAGATAAAACCGTACGATCGTTACCTTCTCAGTGAGTGTTTTAAAGGTATTTGTTCCTCTATAACGCAACGTAATCCTTCAATCTGCAAGTACCCACTCTACTGTTAAAAAGCACGGTTTCAAACTGCTAGACGCTGCAGTAAAAGCAGTTTTGATTGGTTGAAAATTTGGCACGTCTCTCTTCGCTTTTGTGATTGGGTAGAATGTTTCCGTAGTAACAGGGACGCGGAATCGTCTGTTGTATTGTTCTTTTGATATGTAACTACTAGAGGTCTTCCCGGGTCCTAAAATCCATACCCGACCCAAATCACTTCGTACCCGAACCCGACATGCATAAATTATTATTTTTTTTTAATGAAAGACCCGACCCGAGACAGACCCGATGAAATTAGAACTGAGTCCGACGGACTCGTATGGAAATGTTAACAATGTTACCAAAAAAAAGCTTTATTCGTTTATTTTATTTTCTTTCCTTTAGTTTTTTTTTTTATTTGCTTTGCATTTATTAGCATATAGTAGAAGTTTTGTAGCTGCAAAAGAGTTCACATTATCACTGTTATAAACAACACAATTGATTAGCGACCTAGAAATATTCGTAAATATTTCTTCATCGTCTATTTATTTAAACTTTACTTCCCCATTTTATTTTATTACAACTTTACGTTTTTTACTCCATAATTTTATGTTTATTGCCAGTTTGAATGACAGATCAATCTCAGACTTGTCGACATATAATAGCTAAATAGGCTAATGAAAAGCAAAAATACAAAGAAAGGAAATCAGAGAAGAAAATCAATCTGAGCCATCATTAATGCATCAAGAATCAAAAAGATAAGTGAAGCGCATGAATTGAATTAATGAATCAGGCCTTATAATACAATGACCCACACACTGACCTTCATGAATAAAAGCACTGCACTGTTTCATGCTATATAGCCTAAACCCTGCAGGTATTTTGTGTTGGAGTGCTTTATAATTCAGTCATCAGAATGAGTGGACTCTTAAGTACAATAACTTAAAGTTTATTTTGATTTCAGGAGGTATATAGGCTACATTTAGACATGTACTACATTACACAATAACACAGCATGGGCCTATGTACTGCCTTTTCCATTTAAAACAATAATAAAAATATCAGCTCTTACAATTGCATCAGGAATTTAAAGCAACTCACAGGATGGGCTCTTTCTTATTTTGGTGTTGTTGTTAATGTTGTGGACATTTCAGCAAACAGTTTTGTAGCCTACATTGAATTAGTTAGTTGTATTTGTGTTAACAGAAAGATATTCTTCATTGCTTGTAAAACATAGCGCATACTGTTCTTAGTGGATTGTAAGTAAATTATTCCACTTTATCCATCACTCTTTTTGTGCTCTGCCTTGTGAAGTATCACGACTCTTTTACCACCAGATCGTTTGCCCCCTGCCCCAGCCCCCCAACTCAAATGTCAAGCTACACTTATGATTACAGCACCTTGATAAAATGTCCAGCTCAACATGAATTCAAATACTGCTTCTGAATCTCAGCCTGAAAAGCACAAACGTGTTTGCATTTGCCCTCACTTGGAAGTCAGCCCACATTCTTTACTTACAACCTGGTTCAATTTGTTCCAGGACAATAGTCTCAAGCCATTAAATGAACTTTCTCCCCTGTGGTGTTTCTGTAGAGGTATTTGTGGGCTTCAGAATGTAGAAACTGTAGACAGAGGACAGAAGTAATAAAAGGAGTTGAGTTAGGAGGTTAATCGAATAACAAAAAAAGTTTTTCTTTTAGCAGTTTCAGAGATGTTTATTGGTTCTCAAGATCATTTAATTGTGTTGTCTAAGAAAACCGATTATCGTTCTAAGCAGAGTGTGCTCTTATGGACACATTGTCTGCCCTGAATGAATGAGCATGAAATTAATATACTTAGGGGAAATTAATGTGAAATGTCATAAGTTCGATTTCCCTTTCTTTTCAAAACATTTTCCTTACAAGACATTTTAAAATAAAAGGAATCACATTTATAAGCTGGCCGAACACCTTAACGCTTCTCAATATAACTGATATAATATTAATATACCAACTGAAGAACTAAAATCTGTATTTATACCTTTTTAGTGCACAGACAACCACCATAAGAAATGAGAAAGCCACATGATGAATCAAAGTTCTTCACAAGGAGCTTTTCCACAAGCTGAGGGAAATACTAATGTAAAGAAGAGGCACAAAACACTATCACGATAACAGAAATTACACAAAAATAATGCAATAAACCTACATTCTACCTACCATGGTTATACAGGCATTACAGTCTTTTGCTGTTAATGATTTATTACATGAGAATGTATTTCAGTGAATCATCCAGTTGGGACATTAATATTATACAAACATGTGCTTACATGATCACATTATTGATGTTTTAGCTGCACTATAAAGTTTGCACTTTGAACAGTTTGCAAATTTTAAATCTGTGATCAGATATTCAGAACATATGCAGAACTCTCCCATTAGTATGCAAGCAATCCTTCATAGGCAGCAACAGCTGTCATAAAGCCGTTCTACTCTGAAGCACTGCAGCAACCAAAAATGTAAAATGCCTTTGAGGTATTTATCATTGCTCACAACTAAGACAGGCAGGTTGTGAATTATTGTTGTAGAATTGATGTCAAAGTTCTTCACTTCTGTTTTGAATGCTAAGATTTTTTGTATGAAGCAAATTTTGTGAGCAAAGTGGATTCTTCACCACTGCATGTTCTATCATTTGTATTCATTAGCCGTTAGAGGAGGCATAGGCTCTGGTGTATGATGTATCATTGCAAGCTGATCTATTTTAAGTATTAGCTAAGATGGTTATATGTCAATTTGTAAGATGGAAAGGCCAAGTCTAATGACTGCAGTTCTGACACAACTGATAGCTTAGTTTTTATTATTGTGATGCTGAGTCTCTCTATAGTCGAGCTCCATCATGAATTCTTAGAAATGTCTCAAACCTTTTTTCAAAAAAGAAATTGTATGAGAAAAGTATTATCTAATGTCAACACTGACATAATAGTTACAATGTTTTCGAGAAGATTTAGCTGTGGTACATGCTGATTCACATGCAGCCAGGTGCTGTGTCAAAGTGACATACAGATCTGTGATTGTCTCAGTGTAAACAATCTTAAATCAAACTGTTTTTTTCTTCTTCTTAGATTGTTGACTCAAAGATTTAACAGGCTGAAATTCCACACCCATAGTCACAACTGAGTACACATAGTTGTAATGCTCCATATTTCAGAGTAGCTCATTAAGTTAAGTGCTCCTTGGCTTTCAATCATTCATGCTGAGTGTATCCTCCTCTATGGCTCAGTCATAAAAGAGGAACAGAAGCATAAGGTCACACAACAGAAAAAATTAGAGGTCACTGATTCATACATACTGGCTTAGTGCACAAACTGTCTAAAGCTATTGCTATAGGCCTAGTATCCAGAATCTGGTACAATATTGAACTAAGCGTCCTCCCTTTGAAAAGCTTATTAATGAAACACAACTCTGAATTTATGTATTTATATTAGCATAATATGGCCAAATTCGTCTAACTGGATGTTTTTCATTTCATGCTGTCAGATTGATTTACATTGTCCATCAAATCTACATGAAACTCAATTTCAAATTAGATTTTTCTTCTTCTTCTAAAGAACAAGGGTGGCTTATGAAAAAGCCTGAATATTTAGTTGTTTGTCACAACAGACACGTCCAATTTATTTCATGCATACATTTTCGACCACGTGAAATAAACTTGAGGTTGTTTATAAAATCAATGTCTTGTGCATAAGACCAACAAAACCTCATTATTTATGCGTAAAACTTTATTAATTGTCATAATATGCCGAGTGCACCTTTAAATCACGCCAGTTTGTCGTGATCTGGCAAAGAGATGCCGGATTTGACTTTCAATAGGACAGTCGTCATAAATCTCTTGTAGGGGGTTCCTTTACGTGATACCGCGGTGTTTCCGTCAGGTCTCTCCACATAGCATTATTACTACAACACACAGCAAGTCTCTCTTGAGAAGAGCTGCATCTGACAAAAGCTCACTTTGATGAGAAAGTGTGTGTCTTTCTTGCTGGTTACAGGGTGAGCTTTACTGAAACCAAACCAGGCAGATGGGTTTCCTCACCTTGACCAAACTCATGTGTGGAGTGTCACGACCTTTGCCCTTGTGACGCCACTCACCTGGCAACCGCAGCAAACCTCGCCAGTCAGATCCAAGTAGCCATCTGTGCAGCACCAACCACATCTCTCTCTCTCTCTCTCTCTCTCTCTCTCTCTCTCTCTCTCTCTCTCTCTCTCTCTCGCTCTCTCTCTTCAATTTCTTGAAGTACTGCAGAGACGGAGCTGCAGCGCTTAAACACCGTCAGCTCTTGCTTTAGTTGCCGGATATCTTTGCAACACAAATAAATGTTTATTCATTAGCAACGGCGGGCGTCTCGTAATGGAGAACCAACAGCGACATCTCATCTGCTCTGCTCCCTAAAGGGTGAGTCAAATCTTTAAAGACTTTCGCCTTATAACAACACATTTTGCTATAGCCTATTACTGTACGAAATAAAGAAAATGTTTAAATCTTACTATCATTTGATCAGCACTGTGTAGTTTGTCAGTGCATAAAGGAGACGGATGCACAGGAAATTAAAATTACACTGATTGACAGCTCAGTTTGTCCAGGCAACAAAAGTTGTTTATTCAGACATGCAGGACCCCAAAAACAGAAGTAAAAGTGGTTTATTTGAAGCTGTTTAATTTAGACATTTAATTCTTATACATTCTGTTCAGTCGTTATTGAGTTATTGAATTATTAGAGGAGAGTGTCCGGTGTTGAGCGTTGCTCAGGAGTCAGTTTTGACATGAGCGAAAGCGACTGATCGGTGGCTGGAATAGATAGAGCACAGCGCGCGGATCCCCCGCCGCGGGCAATGCGAGCACTGCGGAGACACACAGACACAAAAATACTGAGACCAAAATTACAAAAGTCTATGGCATTTTTTAATATTCCTCCTTGGATATGATACCCAAGAAGTAACATAATTTGAATTATTTCTACAACAAGTTTTTATGCTAAGCGTTGACTGCATTCATCAAGCTTTACCTGCAATCCTGTTACACGGTTATTGTAGGCTAATAAAAATGTAATAAACACATTTTTACAAATATGTGTTTATTTTATACAAGTTTATCAATAACTACAAAATGCATTCATTCATTCATTCATTTGTGATTTGTGTTATTAGTTTAGTATATTATTTTGACAGGACCCACTTTCTATGTCAAATAAAAAAAAAATTCTATTTTTTTTTTATATATATATTTTATAGGCCTACTTTATTTTTTATCTTAGATAATTACACACAGCCAAAATCATTTACAGCCAAATTTTGAGTCTTTGTTTTGAGTCAAATAAGGTTTAATAGGCTATTTGAGCCATGCCACTTAATGGGTGATATTTCATTCAGCTTTATTGGACTGAGACTTGTTTTCCGAAGAAGTCTTGAAACTTTAAATCCCCTAAAATTCCGTTTGATTATGGATAAGCTGGCTATAAAATGCTCATGTTTAGCTATTTTATAAAAGAAAATGGATTAAAACAATTGTGGCCAATGTTTTCAATAAAAGCGGAGAGCAATCCAGCTTTTCATTTTAGTCATGCACTTTAAACTCATTCAGCTCTATACAGTAGTTCCAAGGTTGTATCCTTGAGGACTGTAGAGCATTTCATCAGCGATGCTGCATTGACCAGGCTTTTATCTTTGCTTTCATAGCTGCATGAATCTGCCTCATTAGGCTGCATAAGCACCAAGGCAATTCAGAGATAAATCATTTATATTTGGTGCACATTGTGTAAATATGCAGTAATTTGTCCTTTAAGATTGGCATCCCACAATACTTTTTTTTTTGTAGTTTTCTTTTTTATTGTCTGTTGCATTTAGTTTGCATGACTGGGAACACATGTCCGATGTTAATATTAGAAACTGCTCCTGTAGCAGTGCTCATGCTGGTGGGAAGGTTTGCTCTGCCCATTGAGAATAGGCTTTATTGAATTACCTGCAGAGTGATGCAGCCGGCCGTGTCGTGATTGAGAGCGACAAGCCTCATATAATCCGAGCCTACTTGTTTCTCTTTAGCATGCATGCTAGTGCATCATATTATGATACCCTGATGTTTCACAGATTCAAGATGAACGTATGTATGTACAGAGCAATTACATTAGAATACTCTGTTAAACATGTTCAGAGGGATTCATTTACATTGTAGTACTGCTTCTTCCAAATTTTCCTTGCTATAACTCAACAGTCAACATTTTCAGATACAATACTGTATACTGTCATGCCATATATTTATAATATTTGCAAATATCATTCAGATAGAATTAAAAATGAATTGAAACTAGAGGAAGGTTTCAAAATGATTTTCATCTCCATCTGTTCAATCTTGTGCTGACAGCTTATGCTGAAAAAAAAAATGCAGTTTTCTTAATATTCCTCCAAATGTTGTCCTAATTAGATGAACACAGTTGTCTTAACAAAGAATTTAATATTGCTAAAAGGTTATGTGAGTTTTAGGGTTTGTGAGTTCCCAGCATTGCAGCATGAATAATGCAGTTACTGTTATAGACTTATTTTTTTGCTGTTTGCTGACTTCATTTAAACATTTGTTACTATTGTTAGTTATTTGTTGTGATTTTAGAAGCTTTTTTACATTTGTTGATTATCAGTGTTCTTGTGCGTTGAGTGCTGAGGCCTAAAATATATCATGGTGTAGTGAATTTTGCTTTCGCCAACTTACGGAGGCGTCAAGGCGAAATAGTGTAGTGATGGGTACTCGCCGTCACCAATGACGTTATGATATTTGGATCATGTGTCACTTAAGGTGAGGTTATGAGTACATCACATAAGAAAGATTGGTGGGATCTCTAACCTGTAGAACCTCTTTCTGTATCATCAACACAAGGAAGACACAAGTGTAATAAAATGGATTTTATTAACAAAAGACAGACAAGAGTAATCAACAACTACTGAATGAATACCATCAATGAAACAGGAATAAAGTGCATAAGATGCATAAAAAGCAATTGATTATGTTGGGTGTTGCAATGTCAGAGCTACGTTATCTGGAAAGATAAACTGTTGCTACTCTGAAAGAAATAAGGTGAAGAACCTTATTATGCATCAAACAAATACGGGAAAGATTATTTGTTATCAACTGAAATCAGCTTTAAAATATCTAATGTAAATTAGAAAATCATATACTGATAATATCTAACAATGCCAAGGTCTCTGGAAGAGGTTTGGATAAGTGATATTTACGTTCTCTGTGGTAGAGTTATGGCGGTCACAGGCCAAAACCTGAGGAATCAGTCTGTTGGTGGGTGAAGGGCAGAAACTGCATTTTGTCCAATAGGAAGTCCTGTCCTTCCCGGGCTTTGTACCAAAGGTCTTCTTCTTGCCCTCTAAGAGGTGTCTGGCTGTTGTCCTGGCATCTTTATATGATGGCGTTGGACAGTTTGCTTATGTAAGTCCACCAAGATCCAATCAAAATGTAGCAAACCTTTGTCCACTACACTGGATATCTTTGTTTTGTAGGATGATTGAAACAAAGACAGCTCACTTAACATGTTTTAAATTTCCAATAAAAATATATGCACAGGTGTCAAAACAATAAAATAAATTACTGTAAATGAAAATTTGCTGAACAAGAAATCTGTTGTTGTCATGATGAATTTATGGTTGAATGAAGCATTTTGCACAAACGGAACAAATAAATTCAAAACGACAAAACAAAGTAGTGTTAGTAAAATTGGTTTAGAGAACTTACAAATCTGAACACATGCTTTGGATTTGCCTTGGATTTTTTTTTTCAACAGTTTATTATTTTACAGTATAAAATTACATTTTAAAAATATAATATGATGATTTCCTTCTCTCGGGAAAATATTCATCCTTTTTGTTATTTTAAAGAAACATTAATATTTCTGTTTTTCTTAAGTTTACTATATATTTTATTCTACATGAAGCCTGTGATCTGAGAAAGTTGATGAGCAATGAAAATTGTGACAATCAAAGGAAATAGTGCATGTGTGTTAAAGGAACACGCCACTATTTTTGAAAATAGGCTCATTGTCCAACTCACCTAGAGTTAAAGGTGCAGTAGGAGATCTTGGAAAATGCTAACTTTAGCCTGATAGCACTGAAAGCGAACGTCCCACCCTCCCTGCAATCGCCATCCAAAGCCACGCCCCCTGAACGCATATACGCTCACAGACCAGAATACCAGAGACAACATTACAATAGGCTACATCAATTCCATCGGTTCCCAATTCCAGCCCATGTTCCGAAGTGAAGTAAACTTCAACGGATTTCCCCTGCTCAGGGAGTAGGGAGCAATGAACACTGTGTAGGGATCATATCGATCGGAACACAGTTCATGCACGTAGCTCACTTCTAACGAGCTGGTTATCTGAATCGGGTGTGTTAACTAAGCGAGACATTCAAAATATGCAGAGCGCGGGGGCGCGAGGACTGGAATTTGGAACCGCTGGGCTACATCATGTGTCATTCACCGGTGAGAAAACTTAAAAAAAAAGTACTACAATACCAGGAAGGAATATCGGGTTGTTGATGTTTTTCTGCCATTCTCGCGCTGTCTGCACAGCGTGCGTGAACGCGCTGATGACGTATCCTGTCTGGCAGCGCCTGAAAATAGTCCCCAGCTAGGTAACTTCCAATAAGCCTATTTTCATGCACTGCATAATATCATTGCGCCTGCTGCACCCATGGTACGGCAGCAAAGTTCCTCGATTATTACGCCGGAATGAGAGTATAGTTCCTAGCCTAGCCGTCGGTCTTAGTACACGATGTAACTACAGAAGAGTCAAGTTTTAAACATGAAAAATATTGAAACTCTTTGGTCATTTTTGAGCGAGATGCTAACGGTCTAATCAGATTCAATGATCTATGCTAAGCTGCAGCTAAAAGTGCTATCGCCAGACCCGGAGATCGGCTGAATGGACTCGAAAACGGTAAAACTCAACTGTTTAACTCTAGGGGAGTTGGAAAATGAGCCGATTTTCAAAAATAGTGGCGTGTTCCTTTAAGAACATTCTAGTACCTGTCTGTCATCTGTGATTAATTTCAATATGGAAATGTTTGCTTTTTCAAAGCTAATAGCAGATACATGTGTGGTATATATTTTGTTAATCATATTAAAGGCCACAATCATCACAAACTCTTTAGGGAATTATGACATAATTAACATACTGTAGAGCATGAAAAATACCACAGCATGCCATACAATAAATGCCTATGTTTAACTTAAACTTTTTTATCCCTAGAAAAAGTGTTTATACTAGGCTAAATGTTTAATCATTATACTAAATGTTTGTCATTTAGGGCTAGTTGAATATATAAAACATTTTAACAACATAAAAATATGAAACAGAAGAACGAGTATCTGTGCCTCTTCCCCTGTAATATATTTGAGTCTTACATGCAACTGAAACTTTTAGACTTTTTAACTAACTTTTTTTTTCTATGAATAAAAGAACATCATCAGAAAAAGGCAGAAACATTTTCACCAGACAGCTAATTTAACCTTCCCCAAAACTTTTCTTCTTTCCTCTTTCTCAATAATATTATCAATTCCTGAAGCAATCTCTTAGCACAAGATGCCCTAGTGTCCTTCTTATAGACGAGGTCATTTGTTTTTTGTTTTAATGTGATTATGTCCTCTCCAAACCATTAGGAGATTGAACCTGGCTTATTCACACTGCCTGACAACAAAGAAAAGAAAAGGACATTCACTCTTCCAGCTGTCATGTCTGTCTAAGTCAGTCCTTATAGAAAAAATACTAATAACTGTTTAAATTTAAAATGGTTAGCACTTCTTGTTTTTTCTTCCTTATATTAATCACTTCTGTGAGTATTACACTCATACCTAAGATTAAAAAAATGCTAAATCTATAGTAGCAACACATATATGTAAAGAACTAAAACTTATTTATATCACACCCCAAAAATGAAAGAAATATCACTGGACTGTGTAAAATATTAAAATTGATTTTGTTCTTATAGGCTGAAATGCCACATTGAATTTTTTTCACTTTTGCCCCCTCTCCTTATCTTAACATATCGACAGGCAATTTTACAGCTTGCCTCTTAAAACCATTGTTATTCATGCCAGCTTGCCAAATATGCTATAATGTTCTTGCATATAGAACCTGACCCCAATGCACCAGAGAAGGCGTAGAGAACAGAAACACCATACATCATTTCGACAGAGGCTATCATGAGTGCAAGGCCTATTTTCAATCCACTTGCGACTGATTGTACCTAAACTGTGCACTCAGGTTAAGCTGTTCCTAGTCAGATCAGTAAAACACTGAGAATGCTGCTTTTCAGTAAGGAAATTATCTCAGACTGTTATCAGGAAAATTATTTAGTTTTAGTTGTATTTGAAATGGAATAGTGTTATCCAGAGCTGTTATAGCTGATGATCTGCACGGCTTTCTACCGTCCATCATTTGTGAGCAGCAGTCCTGTCAGATCCCGCAGCATTACGCAGGTAGATTGGGGGAAGTGCTGTGTCTTCACCGAGGGGCCAATCATGCAGTTCACTGGGGCTGCCAGACCTCTCAAATAGACATATGGTCCACATCCATTCAATGGATTACTCCGCAGCCTGAGCACTCAGCTTCCCAAAGGCATGTAAACACAATGAAAGTGAAACAAGCTCTCTCTTTTGATCCATTAGCTGTTGTAAAGTCTCAGACTCATTCACATGGTGTACATGGCTCACAGTATAGGGATTATGATTACATGGTGTTTCATAAATCATACGAAATATGATGTAAAATCAGCATTTAATTTATTTAGACAATTTTGTTCACTTTCTGTTTACGATCATTAAACTATATTGCAGTCTATAACATTTGCTTCAAAAAATTCTAATACCACAATGAAAATCTGGATTTTTTTTAAAATGTAAATCTGGAAATGGAAAAAAGTTTTAGCTCTTCACTCTTTCTAATCACTAATCAAGTGTAATCAAATATAAAAGGTCAGATTTGCTTTCAGTGAAGCCCAGTATGCTTTTTGGAAAATGATCATCACGTTTTGTTTGAGTGCTGCTGTCATTAAATCAACAGGTGACACTCCACATACTTTAGATAGATTATGTGCTATAAGCTATATAATTGTGACTTTTCACCATATGGGAATGTTTCTTAAATTTTTTACAGCTATAAACAAAATAAGCCAGACCATATCGTCCCCTTGGAATTATACAGAGTTCTGGCATGAAACTCTAGATGGCGCAGTCCGATAGGTCTAACTCAATCTGACCAAATGATATCATTATCACATGGCACAGCTGATTGGTTCTCTCCTGTATCGGTAGCCAATGAGCTCGCTGCTCAACATTCAAATATATGACTAGTGCTTGCCGTAGCAGTGCAGCTTGATTCAGAACAGCGAAATCAACATCAACAAGATAAGTGAATGCTCTTCTAATCCATATCGCTGTGTGTATTGCGCGGTCTGCCTAATTTAATTTAAAAATTAGCAAATATAATCAAGTTTAAACTGAGTGTGATGTTAGCAGTTTGCATTGTATGCAGGAGAGCTTAACCACTGATTTCTAGTCGTGTCCTCTTTTGGAAGGCCAAACAAAGTAGTTTCACACGACGGGCTAGAGTAAACGGAGGCCGGAGGGCTAGAGTGAGCGGAGGCCGGCTTGAGTGAGCGGTAGTGAACGGGCGGGCCTGAGAATGGCGCGGCCAGCGGGCTTGAGCCAACCACATGTGACGACCCCTGGCTGGACTCCGCTTTGTCCATGGTGAAAGCCGATCCGGCGATCCACAGCGCGAAGTTGATGTATTTCCTTAGC